CACACACCTTTAATCTCAGCACTTGGGAGGCAGAGGCAGGTGATCTCTGTGAGGTCGAGGCTAGCCTGGTCTAAATAGTGAGTTCCAGGACAGCTGGGGCTACAGGGAGACCCTGTCTCACAAAGACCTAAAAAAAAAAAAAAAAACAGAAAGAAAAGGTAGTGCAAATAAATTTTTGATTTTATTGCATAGGTTTTATCACTATTAATACTTCTGTGAGTGTTATGTTCTGTGTTGTTTCAGACTCTTGATTTAATCTTTCCTGATTGTTAATGAAATATTTTTAATCTAAAAGTCAAATTAGTAACATTAATTTAGCCTACCAGTTTAAAGAATTTTTTAAAATTAATTCTCAACTCTTCATTTAAAAATGCTGATTCCTACTTTTTCTCCTTAAGCTGGCTCCTCTGGGGAAGGGCAGCAGCAGTGGATGGTGTGATTATGTGGCAGCAACTGGGTTGCCAGCCCAAATGTCCACATGGTATCCTCTGGTGTGCCTCCTCTATGGGGAGTAGCCATTTGAGCCTGCCAAAAGTGTAAAAAGCTGGCTGGTCCCACCTCTGGGTGTTCAGCTTGAAGTTGCTGCTCTAAGCCTGTGGCTATTGTGACTCATCCTTTGAGCTCTCAGACCGCAAGGGCCCAGTATTGTTCCTAGCTGATCTGACCTCCTCTGGGTTGCCGTTATTGCCACCAACTCCTCTAAACTTCTCTCGTGTGTGCTGTGTTGGTGCTCCATAGACTAGCTCAGAAAAGTTAAGCACAGGCTTTCTCTTCGCCTAACTTCCACTCTGCACTTCCTGGATTTACCTTGAGGCAGGTGCCCTTAAGATGATGCCTGGGCATCCTGAGGGAAGCCTTACCAACCATTAAATACAGATCAGTGCTAGAGTCCTGCTCCAACATATCCATGCACTCCTCTGAGCCAAAGTGCACAAAGGGAATATGTTTTGAGGAACACGTCTTTGGCACTTAGGCCTTCTTCCATCTTTGCCTTCTTTCTCCATGATCTACCATTAACTGTCAGAGAGTCTTCTCTTTCTTCTTCC